ATCGTTTTAAACAACTTTGATGGCGAGAATTAATAAACGGGTAGATCTTAACTAGTTCGGTAACGTCGAAAAATTTTCTTTAAAAAAATAAACGCTCCCATTTCTTTCAGTGACTTAAATCTATATATTCCGAGATTTCATATAACTATTGATATAACAGCATGCAATTCTCAGTCTACAAGTATTGGGACTTGTCAATTTGCAACAAACTGGTGTTTACTCTGGGGACATTAGGATCTTTCTTGCAAGGAAAGTATTTTCTCGCAACATTAAAATTTAACATAGAGAAACTACCTATAAATTTAGTCTAGGGAATAAGGTAATAAAATATTTCGCACTCTCGGGGAAATATTATTCAACACCAAATGATGCTCAGTCAGTTAAGCAACATCGTTTTGGCGATCATGTCTCTTTCGATTCGTGATAGATTATGAAGAATTTCTCGAAGAAGGTTGCCATTTCTTTCTGCGGTAGACTGGTTGCGAGCCATTGCTATAGAACCCAGTGTGTCCTGCCAGAAGAGATGAATAAATACCTTTCCCAGGGGTATTTATGCGTAAGTGAATGTATCAAATTCACCTAGAATTCGAACTCGGCTTTCGATATCCATTACACCACAACTCGCAAAACATTGAAACTAATAAATAAATAAATATATAATAATAATAATAATAATAATAATAATAATAAAAACATTGACCAAAGAAGTTATCTTCTTAAATATACTCGATAGATACAGACTTTGATGGGGAAGACATACATGACACTGTTAAGAAATGGATAAATTGTCTTATGTATGCAACTGCTTTCTCAGATAAATGATTGTAAATGGTTTCGAGAAAATGAAAACTGTAGGTCTTTGAGAGGACGATTCTTGTTCGAAACTCGTGGAATGGCGCTACAGGTTCACGAGCAAAGTACTGTACTAAATAGCCTAAATTAGAACACATGGCATTTTACCCGAGCAGCAATAACTGAAATGGATAACAATATATGTCAGAGAAAGAAATGGCTTAATCTTGATGCTGAAGTTTCACACCTTACAAAAAAAAATAAACTGTTACGAAGGAAATCCAAAATCAATAACGGAAAGAGCTATATCAGTTATTGGAATCGAATTTACAATGAATGCCGAATGATTCTTATCGGGAAATGATTTATTTATGAGTTCTATCCAAATCTACCCACATCTCAGTATACTGGGTGTTGCAGCAAAATTGTCCAATTGTTGAATTAAGTTCTGAGCCGTTGTATATTAGAAATGATTAAAGATATCTTACTGGAATTTTCCAAAGTTCTTATAATAAAATTGGACGCTTCTTTGAGGAAATAAGAATGTGTAATTGCTCTCCAAGCTTAAAAGAAGAATTGTGATGAAATCGATCATAAACGAAAATGATATCTTCATCAGTTAATCAGAGGTAAGGATCAGAAGCGCATGAAGCATCGAAATAATGTTCAAATATATATATATATATATATATATATATATATATATATATATATTTCAAGATCATTTTCAAACCTATTCAAGATGACCCTTCCCCTAACCTTCTGGCCTGGAGTAACAAGATACCTAACAGGTTTCACGTACGATTTAATTTTCTTGTCTTTTTTCATTGCTTTTTAGGCTGTCATAGCTGAAACTCCTCTCTCAGCTGCCAAAAGTCTTATGGGCTGAATTGGATCTTTTCTTTACCTTTAAGAGGAAATAATGATCTCCCTTCCTTTTGTGTCCTGCTGATCCAGTTTTTCTCTCTACTTTTCCCTCTTTTTAAAACTTATTCACCGTTCTCTTGATGGTTCATGAATGGACATTGAAGATGGAAGCCAGATTATGAAGGTTGGTACCATTACTGAAGACCTGAATGATATTTTCCCTCTCAACATTGGTCAGTTGGTAAGTCATTGTGGCGATGACACAAAATTATTTTAATCAGTTCTATTTTTAGCTGAATAACTCAAAGGGTTCTTCAGTGGTTCTTACCACAAATGGGTAAATGTCTTATCTGAAAACTTTGGAAAAGGAAACTCAGTTAGTTTCCTTTTTTTTTTTTTACATATTAAATATTTTGTGGGATGGACAATTATGCTGTTATATGATTTGGACAATTTTGCTGTTACGCCCAGTATTTCAATATGGATTCTTTGTGGCGATATATAACGATTTTGCGGTGTTAGCACAAAAGTATCTCTCATCATACCACGGCAACTGAGGTGAATTCAAATTTATTTTAGCCTGCACCAGACATCCCAAAATTTAGCTACTTACATATGATTATATATATATATATATATATATATATATATATATATATATATATATATATATATATATAGTAAAAAAAAAGAAAGAACAGTAAGATATATAATCCGATGTTCTTATTGATATTTTTACTTTTACAAATAATTCTCAATGTAAATTTACAGGGTATAAATATTATAAATTAACTTATTTAAAAATATTGTTCCATCGCTACACATGAATTAAGATGTTTCAAAAACAAAAGTTAACAACTTCAAATTAAATTATATAATTAAATTAAAAGCCCTAGTTCTGTTTCATTTTCAAGCCAATTTTGGAAGAACTTATTTTGAAATATACTGTGTTTTAAAAGCACTTACATTCATAATATTTGTTTCCAAGGATACAGAGAAATTCAATCATTTAGACATGGGCAGTAGCGTGTTCATTTTTATTAACAACTATTGTGTCAAATATGAGTTAATTTGAAAGGTATATATATATATATATATATATATATATATATATATATATATATATGGAAAATTACAAGTTTTATAGATTATGCAAAAGCGTCTGGTAAAGTACATAAAAATGATCTGTTGGAACGGCTAGGTTGCCTCGATATATTTTGGAAGTGTATTAGAATAATCCAGAATTTACAATGGCGGCAAATCGCCTGCTAACGGATAGAAAATAAAGTAACTAGTACAAAACTAGAAAGGTTTTAAGACAAGTATGCGTCTTCTCAACGGAATTATTCAGCCATTATGGTGAATCAATTCTGAGAGAATTAGAAGTCCTACCAGGTTCGGTTTGGTTTGTTTTACGGCATATCGACTTCAATGGCTTATTTAATTTCGACAATTTTTTTTTAACTGCAGCTATTGTCTTTTCTCCAAAAATGTATTGCTGATAATATTTTTTTCAAAACGTTTTGCTAGGAATAATGTGTTGCTGGTAATAATAACTTACAAAAATGTATTGCTTTTATTAAAACCTATTTTTATACGTCCATAGTGTTTTTGGGGTATAACTATTTGCCCATAGCTGGGACCATAACAAGTGCTGCTACCCAGGGTCAGGGTGGACATCGGAACACCAGCAATTAAGAGGCTTTGCTGTTCGATGTAGTTTATGCACCCTGCCCGGGATGCGGGTATAATCTATCGTCTTATCCAGGACTGGTAGGTTTTTGTCTAGAAGTCCTACCAGGATTCATTATTATCCATAAATTTAGGAACATAATCTATGCAGAGGACACAATGTTGATATCAGACGCAGAAAAGAAATCCTAGAGAAAGCAATGAAGGAAAGCGGAAAGAAAGGACAAAACATCAATTGAAAGAAAACAGAAGACATAAATGTCAGCGAAAGGAACAGCCAAACATGCAAATTACAAACTGGGGATAACAAAATCAAATATAAATATCTGGGGAATGTTTTAAATGGGGACGGAACGTTCGAAACCGAAATCTGAAGACGCTCCGGGATAGAGAAAAATGCCATAGAAAAGCTAAGCAAATTATTAAGAAACAGGAAGACTTCGTTAAAATCAAAGAAAAAAGTACTGAACTCTTACATAATATCAGTCTTCCTATATGACAATGAATGCTAGACTCTCTCAGACATAAAGATAAGACTTGAAGCGGCAGAAATATGGTTCTAGAGTTCTGATAATTCCATGGAATGAACATATGAATAACGACAAAGTTTTGGAGAAATGGAGACAAATGCTTATGCTTAACATCTGAAAGAGACATTTTCAATTTCTAGAGCAGACAATGAGGAAAGCATGTTTAGAAAATTTGACAAATACAGGGCATATTGATCGGGAGAGTGACAGATGAAAACAGCGCATAATCTACCTAACAAGCTTTTCAAATCGATCGCAGATCAGGGTTTACGAGAGATGAAAAAAACAAAATTTACTACTACCTACAAAGGACAGGAATTTGTAGAGAGCCATGATCGCTAACGTTCTGAAGCGACACTGCACACAGAATACGAAGAAAATATAAGTTAATATAAGTTTGCTTGTGTGCATATTAAGGATTTATCCATGGACTCTTTATATTAAAGATAATATATAGTCCTGCATTTATGTATGATTATTTTCTTTCTTATCTTTGAATTAAACAATTTTTTTTTCTTTTGCAGTCGTTTCCTTTATATATTTATTTTTATATATCTTTTTTTCTCAGGATTTGTTCCTCTCTAAATCCTTCTCGTTCTCCCTTCCCGCATATCTGTTAGTTTTTGATCAGTTACTCTTGCTCAGTGCGACTTTATCTGAATGTTTCTCTCTTTTTACACTCTGTTTTCTTTACTGACAGGATATATTTTCCCTTCACTGCTCTGTCCGTTGGTCTAACAGTCGACCGACCGTCTCTTGCACCAGCCCATTCCACAAACACATATTGGCTCAGGAGGAAATACTCTGCACAAAATTGGCTCGAAGCAACAATACAGACAAATGAAGCGAGTCCGTGTGTCTGCCGAAGCTAAGAGCAATAAGATGAGGGAGGGGAAAGCTTCATCAAAGATAGAGAGAGAGAGTAAGAAAGAGAGAGAGAGAGGAAGAAGAAGAAGAAGAAGGAGTATTAATAAAAAAAAGAGAGTGGAAATTTTTACTAGAGACGAAGTTTCGGTGTCCTGTCGTTCTTTTCTCTGATAGTTACGTCTTGCGTGCAATGACTGCCAATGCTATTAGGTGATGTCAGTCGATGGAGACAACGAAAAGAATAGGCTTATGGCGACATTAGGTTGAAATATCGGTTCCCGTACGATCACCGAAGTCAAGCAACGTCGAAGCTGGTCTTTAACTGAATGGGTGTCCGCTTGGGAATATCAGGTGCTGTAAGCTTGGATGTGCGCGCGATTTCATGTACAATGGTACGGAATTGCAAATCGGAGACGGGGGGTCCCTGTTCCCTTTGTGTTCGTTATATTTATTTACGCGCAAATATCATTGGGAAAGGTAAGAACCCCTTCTTCTTCTCCCGTCAGCAGTTATTGGTTAATTAGTAACACTTGGATCTCTCTCTCTCTCTCTCTCTCTCTCTATATATATATATATATATATATATATATATATATATATACACACACAACACATATATATATATATATATATATATATATATATATATACACATTATTCAGACTATTGTCCTCATCTTTTTCGCAATATTTATTACATCGTTTCGGCCGTTGTATGCTCCGGCCTTCTTCGGGTGTTTAGAATGTCGAACTTAACCCTTTATTTCGCTCACTGGGATAATCTGTTTTAGTTCCACGTGGCATATTTAATGAATGTCAGTGATCAGTTATCTCCTGATAATTTCCCTCTGAAACTTCACCACTGCCTTAACCGAGTATTGAACTCACACTCTTTGGGTCCTGTCACTGGATCTAACCAACGCTTTTATCCACTCTGCCATGAGTCATCAAAAATTTGCTAGCATTAGCACTGTTTTTAAAAATAAATATAATTAATCAAAACACCGGATCATAAATTTTACTATTCTTTCCCTTTATTTTAAAGTGTGTGTGTATATATATGTATGTGTGTATGTATGTGTGTGTGTGTGTGTGTGTGTGTGTGTGTGTGTGTGTGTGTGTGTGTGTGTGTGTGTGTGTGTGTATTTCTTATGCACTGTTACATTATAACATGCACATATCCACTACAATATTGTACATTTTTGTTTGAACGTCAAAAAAATGAAAACCTTTTTTAAAACGTAGGGAATCCGGATGTTACTTAAAACTTTTATTCAGAAATACAGTTATCGAAGCAAATATCATCTACTTCCGGTCTTTGGAAATTTTCATAAAATCTATTCGAGAATTTACAAGTAGAGATGGAAGGGGATCTAATAAAGGAAGTAGTCGCGGGCAAAAAAAAAAGAAGGGAAAAGAAAATGGTGAAAGGGAAAAAAAAGAGGAAAAGAAAAAGAAAGAGGCCATTGGATAAGGGGGAGGTGATAAGCGCTAAGAAGAGATAAATATATCCATAGAATTACGTGAAAATGTAAAATTTGAAATTCAACGGTCTCCTAGGTTGGTTAAGCTGATGCTTCAAGGAAAAATAATTAGTAATCAGAGACAGTTAAAGTAAAGGTCAGCATATTAGAAAAGATATTTTATAATAAAACTGATAGTTTCCCCAAAATGAATGCAAATTTATTGTACTAAGGTAAGCACTCTAGTAAAACCAATTGTACTTTGTAACCCCTTACCTGTTTGCACTTCTCCCCAATATTTTGTTTCGATCCATTATTATATGGGTGAACTAATCCACATAATCACACATATATATATATATATATATATATATATATATATATATATATATATATACATAGCTAATAACTTATACAATGATACTGACATAAGGAAAATCTAGACATCCCTTGTTCAATTTAAGTAGAATATTCTGTAACCATGGAAACGTGATTTTTAGCTGTGTCTTTAAAACCCGGTAATTTTTTAAAAGTTACTCCAAAATTCGCTTGAAGATGAAATGGAACTAATGCTTTTAATTTAATTGCAAAATTAAATTCGGGGTTTTTAGCTTCTATTTTTGAAACATGGTTGGAACTGTGTAGCGAAAAAACCATATTTTAAATCAATTAATTTATATATATATATATATATATATATATATATATATATATATATATATATATATATATAATTATTTATTTAAAATATGTTTCAAACGTTGTAATCATATTTTTAAATAGATAATTATATTTTTAAATAAATAATTATATTTATGCTCTACTTTTGTATCGAGCACTATTTTTTTAAAAAATAGCAAAAATACTAAAAAATACTAAAGAACTTTGGATTATTTACCTAACGAGTTCTTTCCTATTTTGTATATATTTTCACACACACACACACACACACACACACACACACACACACACACACACACACATACATATATATATATATATATATAGTTATAGTTATTTTCTAAGCGTAGCTTAGATGTGGCAAAAGGCCGAAAATTTGGGACACCTAGTGAGGATCGAACTTACTTTTCAGTCGTATCTGATCTAGCGAGACAAGCTCGCTAACCATTAGATCACGCCGAAGTGCCATTTATATATATATATATATTTGTATATGGAGGTTTTTGTATATTATTTGAATTGTTTCCGATGATGGATTTCTCGCCAATTAAATCATTAACCTTTGCTTTTGTTTTTGTGTGAATAATTCATGAATTTGTAAATTGATTGCACGTTTATCGTAATATATATATATATATATATATATATATATATATATATATATATATATATATATATCAAGAAGATTAATTTTCTGAAAATGTATTTTTATTATATATATATATATATATATATATATATATATATATATATATATATGAAAATATATTATATATATATATATATATATATATATATATATATATATATATATACATTTTAGAAAATTAATCTTCTTGAGTTAACTAAATGCTATAGTTCTTTGTAATATTGATAAGAATTTTCTGCCACTCTTTATTTGGACTTTCGGGAAGTTAATAGTTTCATTATATCAATATTTGATAAACGGTTCTTCTCTCGGGGAGGACCGTGCCCCGAGGACCTGTTAGAACCTACGCTCACTTTAGACTTCAGGTGGAACTCATGCATAAGACACATCGATGAAGATCCTTGAATAATGGGTGGCTTTTCTCTACAACTGTAGTAAGTACTTGACTCCTCATTATCAGACCAGGCCGGAAATGGAGTATCCTCAGTATTCACTTCTTCAGTCAAAAAGCGTCTAAGATAGATAATTTTTCATCTTAAAACCCCTTTTCCTATAAATAAAACGTTGTAAACATCTCGCCCTTCTATCGCTAATTCCATGTGAAGTTATTAGACAACCTACTTTCCTTAGTTCCACCATTTCCAACCTTCACAACAAAGACACGCCATGAGACAAACATTGTACGCTCATACCCTTTGTATTCCACTAGTGAGATGTAAGTTCCTCTCGAACAACGTCTTCCTACGAATCTTTACATTGTGGAACCGATTCCCAAAAGAACGTTTCCCCGACCGCAACACCTGTTCACATTATCGTCTTCACACATCCTCATAGACAAAATCTACATCGAGTGGTTCTAGAACCTTGTTTAGGGCGAATATTATTGAAAAATGTATCTTTTCCTTACATGCTCTCTCTCTCTCTCTCTCTCTCTCTCTCTCTCTGTCCCCCACCTTTCTTCTGTTCGAAATTTTCAATTTATATGGAATTCGTTATCACGCAAATTTCTTTGTCTGAGACTTTCCAAAGACAGACTGTAGGGTCTGATGGGTCGTCTTCATTAAGATTTATACAATATATTTGCTTGAAGCTATCTTTAATCATGGATATGCGAAAACGGTTGTATGAACATGATCATTTACACTATTTACATTGTTCAAAAAGTTGTCCTCATCTCTGTTGCCATATTCACGACGTTTCGGCCATTGTACGCTCCAGCCTTCTTCGAATGATTGTAAACCTCCAAAGATACAAATGATAGTTTAGACATTTCTGAATGATTTAGATGTTTTGAAAGACATCTGATTGAGTGTTTAAATCTGTGGGCCTCTTTAAAATATGTGACCTTTTTTCAAGATTTATTTTAGAGTTATAGCTTCATGCTGTACTTTGAGAAACGTGCCTATCTTGTGTTCAAATTCTGTATCTTCTATATTAATTTATATTATAATTTTAAATTGTACACGCAAAGTGATTAAAATTCCGACTGACAATAATGTGTATTTAAATTTGTAAAGTCATGACAATTATTTATAACAAGGAATGCCTGTGAAAATTTCATATATTTCCTATTTTAATTTGCTGATAAATCTTATTTTTAATTTGACGGTTAAATGAGCGCATGGTGAGATCCATGGCAATGAATTATCCGCAGAAATTCACCTTTCGCGTCATTAAATATTTGAGTTTAACAAAATATTGCAATAACAATAAAAACATACGAAAAGCTATTGGTTATTTAAGAAGAGATTACGAATGAAAAGATTTGAAATTGACAACTCTTCTCTTTTCCCTGAGACAGATGTTAAATACTTCTGTCTTCTCGTATCTCTCTCTCTCCCTCTCTGTGTATTTCTTTCTTTTTATCTTTCTTTCTTTTTATCTTTCTTTCTTTTTTCTTTCTTTCTTTCTTTTTTCTTTTTCTCACTGAAGCCAAGTAGTGCCTGATATGATTTTTCCAACCTTCCATGGAATAGTCCCATAAATATACGAGACAGTGTCAGGATATTTTAAACATTTCTTTCTTTCTTTCTTTCTTTCTTTCTTTCTTTCTTTCTTTCTTTCTTTTTCTTACTGAAGCCAAGTAGAGCCTGATATGATTTTTCTATCCTTCCACGATGTCAAAATGGAATAGTCCTATAAATATATGAGATATTGTCAGGATATTTCAAACATTTCTTTCTTTCTTTCTTTCTTTCTTTCTTTCTTTCTTTCTTTCTTTCTTTCTTTCTTTCTTTCATTTTGTCACTGAAGCCAAGTAGTGTCTCTCAAAAAAGGAATAGTCCATTATTTTGAGGTATCGACAGGGCGTAACTTGTTAATTAATGAATCGAGAAGCAGAGTTAAATAAGATCATTTGGATAATGAGTGCAATGAGAGAAAAACACCGTGACTGCGTATGAAAAAATGGTTCAAATGGTTAGAAATGAATGCATCAAGTTTGACTAAACGTATCAGAAGGTTCAAAAACTGGTTTAAAAGGGCATACGAGTGCATTTCAAATGGATATTAGTGAATACAACAAAATGACTCAAACTGGAGATAAAATACAGTAAATACAACAAGCCGAAAGGTTGTGCAACAGACAGAAATGAACACACAATAATATATCTTCTTTTTTTTATTATAAATTCTCATTCATAAAAGTTGTATTAATACAAATAGCTTAAGATCAAAGCAAGCTTGAACAAAACAATATAAGAGAATGCAACTGGCTCGTGTCTATGTTATTTCAGCTATTTTGTTAAAAGGCCCTAACTGAATGCTGAAAATAAGACCAAAATGAAAGCTGCATGTTGCCTTAAAAGTACAAAAACAATTACAGCCAGCTACATTAGTAACGTTCCACCACAACAGAGTAGACGCCGAACCTTCACCTGTCATGATGGATGGGTCTCCTCTCAAGGAGACACCTTGACTTGAACATCAGACCGAGACCGCATATATATCACTTATTGCTAAAACTATATCTGATCTCCTCTTCACCATTCTGTATTTAAAAGAACGACATCAACCCAAAAATGGAGTATTGCTGTCATATCTTGACTGAACCTGTCAGCCCTATCTTTCCTGTCTTGGTAGAGTCCAAAAGCGTATACGCGGCCATGTGGGTGATGAATTACTTTACAATATCTATCATTGCTGGGCAATCTCTACACTGTCGCATGGCATGCTTGCGGACGAATTATATTCCTTAGCCCCACCGACTCGGACCTTTACAAATGGGACCTGCCATATCACGCACGCAAGCGCACAGCATCCCCATTAACTTCGTATTCCATTAGTAAGTTCCATTCGGACAGCTTCATCTCAAGAAATGCTGTTTTGTTGAAAAGCTTTCAGTAGGATGCCCTTTTCATTCACCATAAACTTGATCTCTTTTACTCAATGGTTTACCTACAAAGCATCTAGCAAGATAGTTACAAAAGGACATGAGTGAATTCAGAAAATCCGCATGATATAACGTTCTGAGAATGACGATAAATTACATTCGCGTCCTGGGTAAGACAATAAACTACACCCAACAGCAATACCTCTGATCAGGAGGCTTTATGGAACGTGGAACCAACTCTTAATTGCTGGTGTTCCCAGATCCACCCTGACCCGCGGTGGTAGCACCTGATAGGGTTCAAGCTATGGGCAAATATTTAACCCATAAAGTAGGGTAAAAACATTATGAAAATGTATCAATAGGTTTTAATAACAGAAATACAATTTTTTGTCAAAAATTATTACCAACAAAAAATTTTTGGAAAATATATTACCAGCAATACATTTAAAAAAAAGAAAATTGCCATCTATATATATATATATATATATATATTTTTTTTAAAGTATTACCAGCAATATATTTTTGAAGAAAAAATATTACCAGCAATAAAATTTTTGAAGAAAAAATATTAACAGCAACAGATCTTTTAAGATATATTACACGCAATATATTTTTGGTAAAAACTATTACCAGCAATAAAAATTTTGCCGGCATTAATTAATCCATTGATGTTGATATGCCGTAAAACAAAACAAAACGAACAATACCAAACCAAACCAAACCAAACCAAACCAAACCAAAACCAAACCATATGATTTGCATGATATTTTCCCTCTAACGTGACTATTTAAGATCATGACTAGATTTTGGGTTAATATTTGGGTTTTGAATCATAATTCCGTGTTGGTTGAAAATATCCTTACCCCAGCCTGTTCAATATCAGTTACTTTGTATCCTATAGTCCGACTGAAAAGTTGTAACAATAAAATCAAGGAAATTGAGGTTGTGATGACAAAAAAAAATGAATCCGAATGTAAATAATGTAAATATAGATAAATTCTCATCCTAGAAATTCGGACATGAAAATAGGATGAGAAATCTGTTTCAGGTCAAAATTGAAATGAATTAAAAATCAGGAAAAATTATACACCTCGCCAGAAAACTGAAACAAATATGCAATATGATTGTGACTATTATTGTGACTATTATTGTGACTATTATAACGGTAATCTCCTATTCTCATCCGTCAGAAACCGCCTTCCCGGCTCTGACTCTCTGAATCCCTCAATCTAGAAGAGGAACTATATCGATTCACAAAATCGTACACGTGTGACTAGTTCCACGATACGGAACCATTTCGAGCCACATCAGGAGTATGATAAGGAAGAAATAAGAGTCCATATCTTTTTTCCTATAAGATGTGAATATACGAGCGCAGATGCGAAGAGATGGTTAATGTATAAAGTTCGGCCCCTGAACCAATTACGGCTCACGCTCAAATTTCATCATCCGTCATAGAATGAACCACTTATGGCCCGCCAATCTTTTCAATCAAAGCATGTAAAGTACATACCTAAGAAATGCAAAATGTTTTACCAAAAAATGGCAGTTTGTTTCGTGTTGGTCAAAATCATTATATATATATATATATATATATATATATATATATATATATATATATATATATATATATATATTTGGACACTTGAACTTGTGTCACATTATGTTCTCTTATTTTTAATGTGATAAATTGTGGTGTTAAGTTTCTATTCATATTTTTTTAAAATAATTTTTAAAAATTAACCTGACATATAATATACCTTCCTGGAACATCTTTTTTTTCGCAGACATATTTTAATTCATCTTATATGGGCTTCAGATATGGCAAGATGAATGATTTTGGTAAGACCTGTTTAAATTTATTTGTCATCCATGTGAAAAAATGAAAATATGTCATCTGCAATAAAATTTTCATAGGACAGTTCATTTGCATTTAATTTTAATGGTTCAAGCAGAATGGGCGGCCCTCACGCATATTCACCTCCTGAAATCTAGCCCTGTTTGAAAATTGTTTGGACATCCCCGATTTAAGCATTCCATACCACATCCTAAAAATATCTACTAATTGAAGACGGCGATCATGATTAGCCTCCCAAGATCAATGTATAGATGATGAGAAGAACTATGCTGATAACATACGTAACTATTACTACTAATAATAATAGATTATATTCATCTTCCGTAGATGTCTCTCCATGAGTGATCACAATTATATATTCCTGTTTTTAAATGAATGGCACCATATATGTTTGCATCTTCTGATACAAAAATGTATTTTAAAGAGACTAATTTACACTACACAGCGCAAATCGAAACACATTAAACATAATAATAATAATAATAATAATAATAATAATAATAATAATAATAATAATAATATACAAAAATAATAACAATGTTAATAATAAGGAAATAGCTATTTAATAGTATTTTAATTAATATTCTATTTTATAATAATATAGAAATCGCTGAATAAATCTAGCACTAAATTTTTATCACGGGTTAAAACGCCAAAAAGTAGTACATCAGCTTCAGTCATTTCCCCAGCGCCGTAACATAGCATCTCTCTGTCTTTTCTATCAATACTTTCCTTTTAATTGTTCTGAGAAGTTTTCCTCTTTAATACTTAGACTTTAAGAATTTAAACACAGTACTAGATTAGTGGCTAGGTCTCACCATATTGCAGTTGAAATTACTAGATGTAAACGTATTTTCTATAATGTCAGGTACGTCTCTCGACACTTCTTTCAGCTTCTATGCAATGCCAATCTTATTAATTCCTCTTCTTTTGTTGCTGAACGGTATGTGTTCCACTGCTTGCTAGGCGTTATGAGAGTCGTGATTTGGACGACACGTCAGAAGGGATTCTATGGAGGGATTCACCTCTTCCCAACTGATCTTGTACTTTAAGCATCAGCTTAAAGTCAAGATTATGACGGAAAGACGGCGGCTCACTTCATCAGAATTCAGCAAGAGGTGGGTAAATCTTGCGCGTTTGTGTCGTGTGAACGAGGCTGACCTTAAGTGGCACATTGATGCCGGTTAGGCATCAGAATATTGCTCTACCTGGGTTGAAATTGTGCAACCCACCCCGAAACTAGGCTAGCTTAGGTTTAATTTGATGCTTTATTTTCCTTTTTCACTTAACTTAGCTAGGATATGTATGCTCATTGGCCCCTTAATATTTTTCTAATATTTTTCACACTCAGTAGCCCCCTTTGCGTCTTAGTCTTATTGCCTTGCTTGGGGTTGAAATGATTAAGAAATATACAAACATTAAAAATTGATTGAAGCCCTTGAGTCAGACACTGACCTCGAAATTTTGCTCGCAAAATTATTTTGCTATGATCTCGCGTTTTAAGCAGATTTTTACCAACAAGTTTTCTTCAAATGCCACACAAATATCAGTCTATCAATACAACTACTACTAATAATAAACTTTTTTAAAAAACTTCTTCTTTTCTTTATTTTTTTTAAATTGCGCTCTTCTCTCAAGTGTTCAAAAATATTAGAAAAGTTACATGAATCATTTTGTTTAATAAGAATAGTAGTAGTAATACTACTACTGCTGCTACAACTACTACTACTAATAATAATAATGGAAGAAGAAGGAAGAAGAAGAAGAAGAAGAAGAAGAAGAAGAAGAAGAGAGATGATTTGAGTACCAGCCAGACACATTTACCGAAAATAACTTTACAAATATCCTATGGAACGTGCCAACTCAAACTGTCAGAAAAATAAAAGCCGATGGACTTAATATTATCATAAAAGACAAAACATTCAGGAATTGTAGGATTATTGATATATCAGTAGCATCTGAGAGAAACACCTCCATGAAAATTATCGAGAAATTGTCCAAATACAAAGACCTGAAGATTGAGATTGTGGAGAAATGAAGACTGAGACTGTACCGATAGTAATCGGAGCTCTGGGCCTCGTGAGAAAAGTAATGGACAATTTTAGTAACAGTGTCCCAGGTAACATCAACATACAAGTTGCTAAGAAGATTGACCTACTAGGAACATCTCATATACTAATAATGTGCCATCAATTAAAGGACAATTTTCCTATATGGCCTAAGGACCATATAGGAAAATTTGGACCCGGCTCTACAGGATATTAAACAGGAAATATAACACAAAAAAAACAATAATAATAATAATAATAATAATAATAATAATAATATATGCGATTTTTTGCATTTTTTTCAAACCTGCTCAGTGGAAAATGTCGTGATGCCATTTCTGACCTTAGGTCTCTGGTCGGGACCCGGAAAGAAATGAGTATATACAAGAAACCAAAAGAAATAAAACAACAACAACAACAACAATAATAATAAGTATATAAATTGATTTTTAATGAAAAGTTGTCAATCAATCGCGCATATTTGGCTGTTATGCATGTGCCTGGTATACTCTTTTCAGGCTTATAGTCATATCGGGCTACGTGTAGTTGTAGTCCAAGTCGGTGTGTTGCTCACTCACTCAGTACTAATAATAATATCTTGGGATCGTTGGTTTACTTTCGTGTTCATCAACCCCATGAATCAGCCTAAAATACAAAACTCTGACCCGCCCCCTTAACGCAAATAAAGTCGGGAAATGTCATTTGTAAAAAAAAAAACAAAAAAAAGAAAGAAAAAAACTAGAGAATCTGGACCCTGATCATGGTTGTGACGGTCTGGATAAAGGGGAAGAGTAGACCCACTGGCCGTGAGTTGACAAACGGTCGACCAACGGCATTTAGCACTGGTAAGACTGACACCTTGATACATCTAAGTTGTTACCTGCCAGGAAACCGAATCTGCTATGACCTCTGACTCCTGCCTAACCCCAATTAATGGTTAGGGTGAGCAATGTCCTCATGTGCTGCCTCGACCACCGTCAAACCTGATGTCACACTTTTCGTGACCCACAAATCGGGACTCTGTTTTACCTCTGTCTCGTTCTGTCACTACTCAGTTAATTCTGTAGTTTTATCACCTTTTTTTTTCACAACTTTTTTTTTAACTCTTCTCTTACTACCTTTCATTTTTGGACTATTTTATACATTCACAAAAAAAAAAAAAAATCTACTTATTTTCTCTCCATTTTCGCTTCACTTTCTTTAACCATAATTTTCTTTGTTTATCCGCTGTGTTGAATATGTTTTTTTCCTTTTTGCTATTCATCAGTTGATATCCTCAATTATATTGTCTCATTCCTTTCTTTATCTTGTCTTTCTTTTTTAAATATGTTTCCTTCTTTCTTTCTTTCTTTCTTTCTTTCTTTCTTTCTTTCTTTCTTTCTTTCTTTCTTACTTTCGTTATTTTCCATTTCTTTCTTTCTTTCTTTCTTTCTCCGCGTTTTCTTTCACTTATTTCTTTCCTCCGTTATTTTTCCTTTCTTTCTTTCTTTCTTTCTTTCTTTCTTTCTTTCTTTCTTTCTTTCTTTTCTTTCTCCGTGTCTTCTTTCTTTCTTTCTTTCCTCCGTTATTTTTCCCTTTCTTTCTTTCTTTCTTTCTTTCTTTCTTTCTTTCTTTCTTTCTTTCTTTCCGTTTCTTTCTTTTCTTTTCCGTGTTTCTTTCACTTATTTCTTTCCTCCGTTATTTTCCTTCCTTTCTTTCTTTCTTTCTTTCTTTCTTTCTTTTTTCTTTCTTTCTTTCTCCGTGTCTTCTTTCACTTATTTCTTTCCTCCGTTATTTTCCCTTTCTTTCTTTCTTTCTTTCTTTCTTTCTTTCTTTCTTTCTTTCTTTCTTTCTCCGTGTCTTCTTTCACTTATTTCTTTCCTCCGTTATTTTCCCTTTCTTTCTTTCTTTCTTTCTTTCTTTCTTTCTTTCTTTCTTTCTTTCTTTCTTTCTTTCTTTCTCTTGTATTATTTCACTTATTTCTTTCCTCAGTGATTTCAACATTCTTTCTTTCTTCTGTTTTTTTTTACTTTCTTTTTCTAACATTTTATTCGTTTTTTAAAACCTTTCTTTATTTCTTCATTCTCATTTCTCTTATTATCCTTATTATTTTCTATTATTTTCATTATCTTTGTTTAATTAATATATATGTGTGTGTATTTGAAGTCCCTATTTCTACTGTATCTGAGTGCTTTCTCATCCTTCAGTTGTCAAATCTGTTTTTCTTTTCTTCTTTCTTTTTTCTTTGTTTTTTTTTACTTATTTCTATAATTTTTTTTTCTTTCTCCATCACTGCTTTCATTCCTCTTTCATTCTTCTTATTTCTTTCTTTCATATTTTCTTCACTTCCATTTTTCTTTCTTCACGCTTTTCTTTCCCTTAACTTTTACTTATTCATTCTTTTTTATACCTACTTTTTCAAAATTTAAATCTACTTCTCTGTAACCTCCTTTTTGGTACTACCATTTTCACTCTTTCGCTTTATTTATATTTTAATATATATATATATATATATTTTTATCGTAAGAAATTTTTTCTCTCTTTTTTCTGTCTTTATGATCTTTATAATCTCATTCTATGAAATTATTTTTCCCACCTCCTCTCCATTTCTTTCTTAATCCCTTTTAATTATGCCCCTTTTTATTCTTCCTTTCTTTTCCTCATTTTTTTCTTTCAATGTTTCTACGTTATTTGTACGTAAACTTTCCTTTCCCTTTTCCTCTGAAATATTTTACTTTTTATTCTTATTTATGTTTTATTATATTTTCGCATTTCTTTTCTTCTTTTCAGAAATTACAATATATTTTACCTTCTGTTTTATGAGCTGCCCAAATAAATTCCTGCGATGTTCGATGCCGATTTATCACATTATTTTAAAAAATAATTACATTTTTCAATAGTCCGTAAACTTTTTTTTCCGAAACAGGAAATCAAATCAATTTAATTACTGAGTGGTGTAACTCAAGAGTAAACCTACACCAATTAAGACTAAAATCATCATGTCTTTAAAAAACAGTTAAAAATGAGAACGATTTTAAACTCGTAGCAAAAGAAGTATAAGCTATTTCAGCCATTTTGTGATCGGTAAAAATATTTCAAGAATCATTCGAAGACGAAATTGTAAAGGACAGATGGAAAGCATTTACAATGATGACCAACTGAGGACTTATGTAGAATCTAATCAGCATCAAAGATTTCTGGCTCAGACATTAAGGCAAAAATAAAATAAATAAATAAAAACAAGCGCTGATAGTGTATATCTATTTATATAGCATTGGGCAAACATATAGATTAGGAAAATGACTTAGAAAAAGAAAAGTACATTAGTTTTAGTCTACTAATATTTTGCCCCTATTTTCCTTCCAGGAATTGTTTTAACCAAAAACGGAAAGTACAACATCGAAATCAAACGCTCATTGGAATAGCGAAAGTGGCCTTCCAAAAGTTAAGCAAAGTATTAAGAAACAAGAAAATCTCTTTAGAAACAAATAAAAGAGTACTGAACTGTTTTCCTAAGATATATAGTGAATGCTGGAAATCTCGCAGATGTGGAAGAGACTTGAGGCAAGAGGTACGTGGATCTACAGAAGGATACTGAGAATACCATGGAATGAACTTGTGCTCAGTGTGAAAATCGAAAAAAGGATCCATATTTAACACCAGAAAGGGACAGTTGAAAATAGTAGGGGACATAATGAGGAAAGAGGGCTTAGAAAAGTTGACACTCACAGGACATATATAAAGGCAAGATATCACAGAGAAAAACAAAGCATGCCTCAGAACAACGTTGTTTAAATGGTTCTCAGAACATGGTTTAGGAGAGATTGCATAGCTACAAATTTTACTAAGATCTACAAAGGTCTAAAAAAATTTTGAGATTCATGATCGCCTACGCCCCAAAGAAACATGGCACATAGATGAAGAATAAGAAGATTAGGAAAAAGAATGAAACAATGAATAAATAATTAGATGAGTGCGTAGAGTAGGTGTTATCGGCGTGGAAAGAGAAATCGTTTAGAGGATTTCAAAATCTGACGGAGTCTGTTATTTGCACATACACCCATCTATTAGACGACAGTAGCACCATATTGGACGACCTTGATCCATCTTTGTAGCGAAGCTTAAGAAACCAGTTGCAAATGAATGCGAGCCCCCTCAGAAAATCAACTTAATGGGCCACTTAACTAAGCTTATTGTTCGAATTCTGACGAATAGCAATCGTGTCAAAATTAGGTTAAAGATAGAATATGAACAGTGTGTTTTCCTCAAGAACACAGGAAGAGGAAATACGATCAGAATAATATCAGAAAGTAGAATAAAAATGCAAACAGACGTGTACATGTTTTACAGACTAAGTAAAAACATGTGGTAAATCAACATACGTATATCTATTAGGACTGCTAGATAGACATTAGAATAAGCCATTAGAATACCGTAGTCAGCCGGTTGCATAAAGATAGGCAATGAATTAAGTGCACAAAGATAGAAACGAGCATAAGTTAAGTATATGCCTTCCTACCAGATTTATTGAAGCTTTCCAGCGATGGGATCTTAAGATAACTATATGTCCTACCCGGATTTATTATTGTTTGGTATAATATTAACAACATAAGATATGCAGATGACACGCTGTTGAAGGAAAGCAGGGTGCAAACTAAAAATTTAACAGAATCAAGCGAATGCAAAAATTGAAACAACTGCGAAAAATTTAATAGAGGATGGAAAAGGAAACAGCGAAATTCGGAGGTTCATTGAAATAGCAGAAGATGCTTTCTAAAAGCCAAGCAAAGTATTAGAAAGAAAAAAAAAATAATTAGAAACAAAGAAAAACATAGCTCATGTGCTATGGGGTTTTGCTGAGGGTTTCTGAAAATGTCATGGACATGTGATCTACGAGGACTCATTTTTTTTTTAGGAAAATGGAAGCAGAAAGGATGCGTATTAATTTTTGTCATAACTTCACCCCAAGTAATAAAGGTACTATAACTCAAGGGATTACTGAACATGAATGAATATGAGAAAAAAGAAAACATTAATAAGAGTGAACAATAAAAGTACAGTAAATAAGAAGACAGAAGATAACGATCGATTTTGTATTTAAGGGTTTGACTGGAAGCAAAAGGCTGGAAGAGAGTTCCACGAGCCATATGTGCGAAAGAAGAATCATTTAGTATAGATCCCTTTCATCTAGACATTACAATTATAACCCTAGCTGGCATTACTGCGGTTAAATTCGTAAAGTCGAGCTACAGAAGGGCTTCTGTCACTTTCCCAATGCCGAAAAGTTACTCCTCTGTACATTTTCTACAAATACTTTTATTGTTCGAATGTGCTAATCGCTATGGTACCTAGGTTTTTTTTTATAAATTTAAGCACAGTAACAAAGTCTCATCTGTTTACACTTGAATTGGCTAGACGTAACATTAGGTTCTATGCTAGCAGTTTCTTTTCTCGAAGTTCTCATTTGTGGAACTCTCTTCCGGTTTATTCCCGGTCGACTTTGGCTTCAAAAAATTAAATGCAATGTCAATCGTTATCTATTGACTTCGTGATTATTTTTCTCTTGTTCTCGCTCCTTTATAATGTTTTCAGTTTTCTAATTTTTTTCACACACAGCAATTCCTCGTGTTTTAGTGGCTTTACTGTCGTGCTTGGGACGGATATGATAAAGAGGCAGAACGATGCTACATTCCGGCGGTGAAAAAGTGACTGAAGCCGAGATGCCACGTGAGAACCTATGCCATTTTAGATTCTTCACTGGTTTCTATCAATAATCTCTAAATACATAACAAAAGCACTAGACAGCAATATTCAATACATGGGAGAATGTTATATTTATAAATGTCTAATATACATTCTGGCGAGACAAAGGTTTAGCACGACACAGTGAACCAGCTTTACTCGTACAACACCTTGCACTTGATTCAATATAATCTTTCAAATGCATGTTAGCGGAAAACATTAGTCCTGGAAAGCGCAATGAGTCACTCATCTAGATTATTAGCTTCAGCCATGGAAGATAAAAAATTTTGTCTAAGACAATTAAAAGACAATGGTTTAATGTTGGAAACGTTAAAATTAACACGCAATTTCTTGCACCAGTTAACAACGGATTACATTCTATATATATAACTATATTCTATATATAATTTTTTTAGATCAGCAGCCAATTTTACCACATCGAACCGATCTGAATTACCATTAGTACAGGACTAAATACTTGTATCTTCAGCTTATATACCGAGAAAAAAACTGATGACATCGGGAAGGTTGTTGATTACAATTTAGAAAACTTAGGATAATAAAGGCATTTCTAGGACGTATAAATAGGAAAACGGCCTTAGGAAATTTAATATTCACAAGACATAATGACATCAAGAGGATAACAGGGAAGTTGTGAGTAACCTACGTAACGAGCTTGTGTAAATAGATAGCTCAACAGAGAATGAGAGAAATTCAATTAAAAATGAAATACTGCTAAGAACTCTAGATTATAGGAAGTTATGGAGAGCCGTGATCACCCGTGCCGGTATACAGCTCACAAAAGAAAAAGAAGAATCAACTCCAACTTAAACTCTACTCTATATCGTTATTTGGTTGCCAGTCTATGATTAAGGTTATTCTGAATTCAAAACTGTAGACAGCAACGGGAAACAACTCTGCTAAATTTCAAGAAGTCATGGCTATTCACAGATAACAAAAACAGAATCTCTTAACAGCTAGGATCCCTATGTCTTGAAGGAACATGGTATTTTTTAAATATATATCTCTTATTTTCATTTTTAATCTTTTTGATTTTCATATATTTCTTTTTTGTAATATGTCCCTGATTTTCCAGAAAAATATGGCGGTGTAAGTACAAAAAAAAAAAAAAAAAAAAAACGGATATCTACTACTTTGGAGAGAATTAGATAAATAATTATCTATATTGATAATTTTTTACGCAAGTATAGCAACGGATAGTGCGACACTGAAAGCCGAAGCCGCATTTGAAT